ATTATCTTGTGAATTATTAAATGATATGAGCTTGATTTTCGATAAAAATGTATAAATGAAAAAGTATATTTATTTTTAACTTCTCACTCACTGAGTTATCTACTCATATATTTTTCTATGTTTTTTTTATCAGGCAACAGTTGAGTATCTATGCATCTTTTGGAGTTGAATCTTTGATTTTGGAATCAGAATCACACGGTAGAATTTGTTAGTATCACTCACTTCATAGAGCATGTAGTCAATGTTTTTGGACGTATATTTATATTTAGATGTGATTTTGCATCACTTGTAAGTAGTTAGGGGTCTCACTATATATTTTGTATCTATATATACATTTCATGTTATTTTCTTGGTAAAAGTTGAGATTTTGGCTTATCTCCATTGTATTGTGTTATAATTTGAGATTTGTGTGTAATTGATCATAGGTTGGTTAGTCCTGTTTACATGGGAGATAATGTCGAAATTCTGTATTAAAAAAAAGATTTATAAAAAGTGACATATTGTCTTTGTAGTAGTCTTGATAGTGGATCCGACTTCGAATTGATATCTATTATCGGTGCACATCACATGGGACGGGGGCAGGGCGTGTCATAGAACTTGTCTAAAATTTGAATACGTGCATAAATCTAATCTGGATTACAAAAATCTTCATATATGAGCACTAATAAGTGTACATATTACACTTATCTTGACCATAAAAAACAAATACTGTTTGTTGCATCATACAACTTGCATAAAATCTGAATACCTACATAAATCTCATCTCGGTTATAAAAATCTTCACATATAAGCATTTACAAGTGTAAATATTACACTTACCTTGATCGTCAAAACATGACTTTTGAGAGTAATTTTATAAATTAGATACTAAACTTTATATGTTTTTTGATTATTTTGGGAGAAAACTCAGGATTGGACGAAAACGGATGAAAATGACCAATAACTAATAAAAAAGGAGTACAGTTGAACATAGTTTGGACATTGGGGTCAAGAAGTTACATTTGAAAGTTGAAGGACCTTAGTTGTAAAATTTAAGGACTCAATATGAATTAAAATATGAAACAAAGACCCAATCACACAAGGAAAATTTAAATTTCAACAATTCAAGATATCCTACTTGAACTCAAATGGTGCTTCTCTATCCTCATAGACTCCATTTTAGACCTAAATTAAGTCTATAAATAGGAATCTTTCACTCCAAAATAAGGATAGTCTAGAAATACAATCTTGAGACATAATTATATATCCAAATACATTGAATCCTCAAGATTTGTATCTAAATTTGGAATTTGAAGATTGAAGAGCACACTTGACTGTGAGCTATACAACCAATCAATGAAGACTTGAATATCATTGTTGGAATTTGGATGCCAAAGAACAACAATTGCTTGGATTAAATTCTTTATTCATTGTATAGAATCAAGTGATGTTTTTCATTCTTTTGTTATTTAATTTAGCAATTATGATTGAAACGGTATAATTTAGGTTTAATATTTATTTCATTCTAAAGATTTCATGCAAGTTGATTATGTGTTTATTATTTATTGTGTGTTTAATGCTTCAATTGTTTGATTACCAATTGGTTGATTTAGGGATAGTATTGAGATCGAGGGGTCATATATGATTCTTGCTCATACAATAAATAACATATGTATTATAAGAGATAATTATAGCAATGCAATCTATATAGAATCCCTGTAGGTTAAAGTGTTCTTATGTGTGTGAATACATGAACAGGATTAGTGTTATTCGAGAGAGATGACTAGCTACAATAGGTTAATTTGATTGTTGGCACTTATGAAAAGGGATTGAATAAATTTGAATGGAATGAATGTTAAATTGACCTAAGTGAAATCGAAATTCCCAACTACTTAATCCCAATAGTTCTCCACAAATTAGGTTGGTTAGATTAATTTAGTTTAGGTTACTATGACTTAGTTAAAACATAAACCTTTGATTTGTTAATTGGTTAATACATCAATTTAGATTGAAACGATGTTGGAACAAAAATTGATAATAATATTAGTATTTGTGGTAACGATATTTGGACTTAAGAATTTCACTTTATTACTTACCATGATCCATCAAAAAAGCACAAACTAGCTACTAGATCGAAAGAAACATTTCAAGGAAGAAACTTCTTAGAATAGTCAAACGTGTCATAAAGTCTTATGATCTGTACCATTATTGTTGACCTCGTTATTTGTACCGTTGACGTGGACAACAAAGCACAGCTCCACTCACGTCCACACAAGCTTGTTCCTATATACTTGGACAAATCTTTAGTTACAAGTGGCCTACTCCAATAGTGGGGGAGGCGACCTCGAACACTCTGATGGTCAAGTCAGTCAATGAAGTAGGTGTGGAACATGCTTTAAACATGAGCCACTTATGCGTTTGGAGATCAATGACATATATAGATGTATGAGGAAATGAGACAGTGTGATCTTACAATCTTTGGTATTCAAAGTTATTTCCTGCAATGGATGTAGGTTGTGAGTTTTTATAATTATTTGGATGAAGTGGCAATCGTTAAATGAAGTATGTTGCTTCATCCTTACGGTTGAGGCATCGCCTCTCAAACGTCAGGTCAAGTATCCTAAGATTTGTGTCATTTAATGTTGTCTAAAAAGTAACCATCTTGTGGTCTATGTCTGTGCACCAATGCAAGAGACTGACAATCTTAACATTATGTTGCTGCAAGAATTCACATCAATCACCTTCACTAGATCTTTTGTGCAGAAGATCTTTGGGAAAATGTGGTTGCAAGAGATGCTCTTCATTGGCTAGGAGATATCCGTCTCGACATTGTAAGCTTCGGGCTTTACATTGCACTTCGGATGAAGCGGTGGTTGCATCTCTGAGTAGCTTGCAACAAAAGGTGTCTTCATTTCAGTTGAAACGCATCCACTTTGGCTAAAGTGCCTCTGTTTCGTCACCTTTGATGACGATGTGTGGGCCTTTGTTAAGTTGAAGTAATCACAAATCAGCTTTCAAATGTCCTGGGTATGCATTAATTTGTTTGCATCTGTTGCTAAATTATGAAGCATATTCAAGTGTATTAATATGCTAATAACCATAGAAGATTGCAGATTCTTCAACTCTATTATACACACAATGTACATGCAAGAGCACAATGAAAGGGAATTTATAGTTGGAAATTGAGGTCAATTTTCTTTAATGTTGAAGAAAAATAATGAGATAGAAAAAAATAAAAAGATAGATAAAATTTAGGATTTTAAAGTTTTCCACCATATCACTACTAAAAAATAGCTTTTCATTTACAGAAAATTACAAACGGATTCAATCCGTTGGTAATTAGAAACGGATTATCCGTTGGTAAAAGTTATTCGCATTCAGCTATGATAATCAGCAATGGATTTTTCGTTGGTAACGATGATATCTCTTTACCAACGGATATTCCATGACTCATGTAACCGTTTAACTTTTGTATTTTTCACCTACGGAACATCTGAAGGTGATGTACCGAATATTACCAACGGATTCAATTCGTTGGTAAGTAGAAACGGATTATCCGTTGGTAAAAGTAATTCACTTTCAACTACGATAATCAAAAACGAATTTTCCGTTGGTAACGATGATATCTCTTTACCAACAAATATTCCGTGCCTCATATAATCGTTTAATATTTGAATCTTTCACCTACGAATATTCCGTTGGTAAAAGTAATTCACTTATCCCACATCGAAAGTTCACAACAAAATCTTTGGAGTTGTCCTTTATAAATTAGTTTGTGGTTCAATAAGTGGTTAAACAATATTTTGGCCTTTAATTTGGTTGGCTAAAAGTTAAAAAAAAATTAGAATTATTAAATAAATAATAATAACAATAATAAATTTATTTATTTTTTTTTTATTTTACCATGTCTCATACCTATGCGACTATTTATAACACTGATTTTTACCAATTGTAATGATAGACAATCACCAACGAGAAGCCGGTTGGTATTGATTAAGATTTTTACTAACGACAATTTCGTTGGTAAAATGTTTACTCTTTACCTACGACAGGATTCGTTGATAACTATTAGCGACCCTCAAATTAGCAACATATTTGTGGTTACAAATATTTCGTTGGTAAAGCGTAATAATAACGGATATTAAGGTTTCAGGAACGAAAAATCCGTGCCTAAAGCCATGTTTTTTAATAGTGTATGAAAAAATGTAAAATCGTATCGAATTTTCACCCACCAAATCCTTCAAGCATTGTAGAAAAAATAACTGAAAATTTACCTCATCCACCAATTTCTACTTACAAAAGAACAAGAAAAATCTGAATGCTAAATTTACAGTTTTCTTCTCAAATCAAGTTTCGGAGAAAAATAAACCACGTCAATTTATAGTATACACATACTAAAATTTGACTTGTTTTTCTTCTTCATTTTAGCTGCCCAAGGCGTGTCTGACTTCGGAATCTCAATCAATTTTGATCACCAATGTTAAGGGTTGTTTGACAAAGTTTTTATAAAGTAAATTTTGATAAAATTTGATATAATATGTAGTTTAAAAAATTGATAAAAATTACGTGTTTCATGAAATATGTGATTAAAAATGCAGTTGAACCAATTGAAAAATAAATAAAGTTGTAACAAAGTTTCATCAAACAAGCACTTACAATAATATATGGCATCCTTGTTTCAAAAAAGAACGAAAGGCACGTATAAATTTCACAAACTAAGAAATAATATTTATTTCCTATTTGCAATTGATGCCCTTCTGGTTTCCTTTCTTTTTTAATTTGAGGCAACAATTCCAACTCCCACAGTACATACTATTATATGACCGTTCTCGTACAAAGGTTGTTCTTCAGTGACAACCAAGGGGTTGTCCAAGGGGTTTAGCCCCTCGTACAACACTTGATGAAGCCTACAACATAGTTAACAAAGTATGAAAGCAAATGTCAACACGACAAAGTATCTCAAAGAAGAATTATTCTACTTGTATATTCATTATGTATATCATGGTTGACATTGTGTGATGTATAAAAATCAATGTCATTAATTATTTTAAGTGTTGTTAAAATCAATGGAAAATAATGTACTACATCTCAAAATATTAAAAAAAAAATTGTCAACCATAATGTACACCAAACAAAATTGCTCAACGAATTAGTCGGGTCCTCTTAACTAAGTGAAGACCTAATACCATCATCAACGGTATTACCTCGGCACAAGCTCGAACTCCAAAGATTTCCTCCCTATGGAGGAAAGCTATTTTCATCCTTGGGAATGCATGCTAGCACATGTGATACGAACGTGAGAAATGTACTTATTCACCAATAAAAAATTATGAAAAAACTTGGGGGACAGTAGGATTATGATGAAAATGTGACTCGCATGTTTCGAAAAATTTTGACAACCGTCCAATTCAATGAATAAGAATCGAAAGGAAAGACCGAAGTATCAAATTCGAGAGCAATAAATGCAAATCTTAACATGACATAGAATGGCTCAATGAACAACTTGGTCATCTCAGAAGTAAAATACTAAAATCTACTTATCCAAAAGCCTGTTGAAATCATCTCAAACATTTTTTCTGACTCTTCGGCTGTTGCATTCAAGCAACTTAATCGAACAAAGTTGTACTTGTATTACGCGACATTAGACTTCATATCAACAATATAAAACATCAATAAAAGGGAAAACTCTCTCTCTCTCTCTCTCTCTCTCTCTCTCTCTCTCTCTACATGTATGGGGTGGCTCTTTGGCAAGCTACTTACTTATAAGCGAAATCAATATGACAAATTACTCCATGTTGTTTAATGATTTTTGAATAACTAATTTTTTTTATACAATTTGCCTGTATTTGGGTAAAATTAATTAGTAACTTAGAAGGAGGAATAACAACAAATCCTATGAAGTGAATGGATAATAAAAAAAAGTAGTAGTAACGAATATGTGGTTGAGATTAGCGTTTGAATTTCACTGAAAATTATAAGTTACTAATAATTTCAGTCAAATCATACCATGGTACTTATGTTTGAGAGCTTGTTTTCTACCTTTTGGCTAAAATAAGTGTTAAGGGAATAAATTTCAAATCGGTTAAATACCAAAATATTGGTCAACTTAAATAGATCTTGAGTCACTCCTCTTAATAAGGTTGACCTTATTAATATGGATCTCAAATCTTAACATAATATCAAAGCCTAATAAGCTCTAACGAGCTATTCGATCCGGTTAAGTCTCAAAAATGAGTACACGAATTTCAAGATTAATCTGCTCAAAAAGAGCCACCATCTTGTGGGGGCATGTTAAAGGAATATATCTCACATCGGTTAAATACCGAAATATTGACCAACTTAAATAGATTTTGGATCATTCCTTTTAATAAAGTTGACCTTATTAAGATGGACCACAAATCTAAACAATAAGCTTGCTATTATTAAGAAATAAGACCAACATGTCAGCAATGTTTGGAAAACATGCTAGTAAGTGACAACAATTGCATTATCTGCTTACGAAACCTAAAGCTCTAAATCATAATAAAAAATAAGCCAAATAGTATGAACCATGGTACTTATTTTCTGCCTCTTGGCTAAAATATGCTTGCTATTTTTTAAGACCGACGTGTTTAGGAATGCTTGGAACTTGTAAGCCACCCCCATACCAGCTAATAAATGATAACAGTTTCACTATCTGCTATGTAAACCTAAAGTTCTAAATCATAATAAAAAAAATGGGACAGCAAAACTAGAAATTATTTCAATAAAACATGAAATTGGAGTACTAGTCAATATTTCAAAATTAGAGTTCCAAGCCAAACCTCTTTAAAGTCTTTTCCCCTCTTGCATGCAGAATTTGAAATTTTGTTCATTATATCGTCGGCAATATTAAAAATAAAAAATAAAAAGAAAAAACCTGAAATTTTGTTCGTCATACTGTCTTCCAATTTTGTGTAACACTTACTGATACCAAATGTGCACTACAAGTCTTCTCTTGTTAGCTTGTTTAGGATAGTTGTAATAAGAAAATCCATCTTTGTAGCTCTTGTCTCCTCTCTAATCCTCCTTTGTTCTTCTATCTCTCTCCATCTACTGTCCATCATTATTCTCTCGTTTTCCAAATCTTCCATTGTTTGTCTCCACTCCATCTCCTTTATCCTTCTCTCTTCTTCTCTTTCCTCGTAGGCTTTAATCCACTGATTCTCCATTTGTATTTGTTGCTTCATGAAATTCTCCAATATTTCTTTTATATTAGTTATATTCAATTTCCCAGTACTACTTGAAGAACCACTTGGATTTGCATTGCCTTTAATCTTTCTCTTCTTCTTTGCCCCATCGCTATTGTTTTCTTCATCTGAAGAAATTTCTTGGACTGCTTTCTTCTTTGAATTTGACCCGTCTTCTGCCTCAAAACTTACCATCCTTTGCATCCTTGCAACAAATATAGCATGAAGTTCATTGTAAAACGGAAACTGTTGTCTCATATCTTCTGCTTCCATGGTTGCATATCCCTAAATTTTTAGAACATAATTTAAATAATTACCCTTTAGACGTACGCTGCAATTCAATTTAGTATTAGAGATCCAAACTTCAAGCCATCTATCTATACTAAAATTATGCATGTTCTGCAAATTTGATTTAATAAAAAAAAAAAAAAAGATTCAAACATGCAAGCGAGGTGAGTATTAGACACATATTTATAGAGTGTTTGTCTCATGTTTATAAACGGTTTACAAAAACTCAAGTCACTTTTTGTATATATATTTCAAAGGATTTATAAATACTACTCACTTATTCATCGTTCTATTCTATCTATTCTTAATTTAAAACTGTTTATAAACACTTCTAAAGCATTCTCTCATAAGTTTGTCCTCTCTAGCTTAAGCTTCCACCTAAGAGGTGATTTAGGGTTTTGATATATGTGCATTTAATATTTAAATCCCATTACATGAAAATAAAACATTAATAGATTTAAATTATTAAGAAAAGGGGGCAAACTGAGAATTAAAATACCAGAAATTAATTTGAGAGTTAACAAATTTATCTGAGAAAGAAAAATCTGAAAAACTTCTATTTTTCTGCTGTTGTATGTATATTTGTGTCTATACCTTGTATCGAGTGACTAGGTTTTTCCATTTGCACTTGCACTGCTCAGAGCTTTTATTGTAACCTTTTTCTTTCATTTTCATAGAAATCAATTCCCATAAAAGCTTGTTGCGTTTGGTTTCCATGAAGTTTTGGTCGAGCTCGCCACGAATCATCAAGAAATTCAGGGTTTCTTGAATACTCCATTGAGGGAACCTGTCGCCGGCGGTGGCGGAGGCAGTATCTATATTCACGGTGTAGTGATGACGATATTGTGCATATCCCTCCATTTAAAAGGGATTCAATTAACAGAAGCTGCTAAAAATCTAAGGGTTTTATATGAGAAGTGTATGGTGTGAAAAGAAGCTGTAAATCAGTGAATTTTCAAAGGAAAAGAATGATTTCATGGCTTAGGTGTCAAAGATAGGGTTTTATCTGTCTTCTTCATGCAGAGTCTTTCCCAGTCTCATCTCTTTACGCGGAAACTGATTTCTCTCTCTAACTATCTCTGTAGTGTTTGTATTTGAACATCCACATTTGTTCATATTGCGTTTCACTTTCGTCATGCTTACCAGGAAGAAGAGAGGTGAGGCTTTAATTCCTGGGACCAGATGTATTAATATATTTGCTGGACAAGGTTTTTATTCTATTGAGTTGGGGAAATTCGCACAATAGTCCCAAACCTAAGGGCTTCATGCGAAATCAGTCTTGATTTTGTACATTTTGTGCCAAAATAGTCCTTGCAGACGGATTATGTCATATTGAATTTTGCCTATGTTTGATACAGATTCTTTAAAACTCAATTTTCCTCAAACTCATTGCCAATCAAATATTATGTTGGGTTTTTTTTTTTATCCAAAATATGAAATGATACAAAAAAAACTTTTCAGGTTTACACAAGAAAGCAGTAAAAACACCATAAAATGTTCACTCTGGTCAACGTAAAGGCCTAATCTGGGAGGCTCATAGGCTAACTCGTCACTATGTACAAAGATGACCTCACAAGAGAGTACAACGATAAGAGCCAAAATCAGAAACAAGATTCGGTCACTAATCTAGAAGGATCTACCAAATCATAACCCTAATCTACACAGCAACCATAACCCACAACTTTACCAATCCTATAGATCAGATAGCCAATATTACAAGCCTAATAACACGGAAGCAGAGCACTTTCTCAAGGGTTATACAATGATTAGGATCTCATGGGAGATCAAATAATCAGATGAGGAATAGGAAAGAAAACGAAGATTGTAGAGAGAAAGAGACCTGAAAACTCAAAAGCCAAGAATGAAAATCGACTCGTCTCTCCATAGTCTCCCAAGTCCCAAGCACTATATTAAATTGGGATTAGTCTCGACCTTTGACCAATAAAAGAACGGTCCATATTTCAACTCAACTAGCACAATCCGTGTCAAGATAGAACGGTCAATTGAAGGTTTCTATGTGGCCATCCACATCCAAATGACCAACATATCCTTATTAAGGAGTGATTTCATAAACACGTTATACATATTATCCCAATAACATAATTTTGCATGTAAACCCTCTTTTTTTTTTCTTTTTTTTTTTTAAGCCACGTATTTTGGAAAAAATAGTCAGTTTACTCAAAACCTATTCTGAAAAGATCAACATCAAACTGCCCCTTTATATTTTTTTCGTTATCGAAGTTTGCTTAATCATACAAATCTTTCAACACTTATGAAGGAATAATACTATTTACCATAACTATTTTTCAATTGAGCTTATGTAATATGAATGTTCATAATTTTTTTTTAATTTCTTCATATATTTGAAATATCTTATTCAACTTAAAACAATTTAATTACACGATACGTCAATAACAAAAATTACAAAGAAATAATGATAATACGAATAAATAAATGAAAATTAAATGATGATAATATAAAAACACGAAACCAAACTCTTTCGGTGTTGTTATGTGTACCCAATGTATAGGCTCCCTCACAATGGAGGGCTCGCGACTTTTTTATTGGACGTGACCTCCTAATTATGAGAAGACCATAGATCAAGGTGTCAATTTCTGTATATATATAATTATATATAGCAAAACCCAAATTCTTTTTCATGAATCTGCAACGGCCAAAACCGTAAAACAACTCCAGTGCGTACGCGGCAGTCTATCATGTCCCACGTTTAGCCTCCAACCTTGTCAATGCACGTGGCATAAAAGGACCCAAAGGACACGGATGTGTGGGACCCGCATCTTGCTTGTTCACACCATAGCCGACAACATAAACATACCTAGGCGACGGCTTTAGAACCCTGATTTGATATCGGTGTTTGGTGGACCAGGTACACGAGGAAAGGACAGTGGACTAGTGGAGGTATAGAATTTGATTCAAATGGTTGAGTATGATTTCTTTTTTTCTTTTTTCTTTAATTTTCTGTTTGGGAATATAAATATTATAGTGGAGGTTCCCCAATTTTTTAGCATTGTTAAAGTTGGTCCCAAACCTCGGGCAATTGCAAATACATTATTAGGGGTGGCAAACAAGGCTTTTCCGTGAACGGTTCGGACTCGTTTTGGGATAGCCATGGATCAAGCTGGTCACCCTTTTTTTCACAAATTGATTGGGGTCATCTTGCAAAAATCATGAGCCAACTTGCAGATTCATGAATGGGTCGGCTTGGCCCAAGAGGTTAACGATCGAAGGTCGAATCGAGTCAAATTTTTGGACATGAGCCGAGCTTGGGTGTCCAAGGGCTGAGCAAGCTCGACTCAACCCATTACCACCTTTATACGTCCTATAATCTTTTGAGTTTGTAGCACTTTGATTCTTGCAAAACGAAGTTTCAAGGTTGGGATAGAATATAAGAGACATAAATCGCTGTTCAAGACCATCTCACATAGGTGAAAGTTCCTCCATAATTTTATTATTTTTAATAGTTAAATATGTAATGTGTGTGTATATTTGCAGAAGGCCTTGTACAAAGTGGGTCTTCGAACTTTCCAAGTCGATCTGACAAATTTGTTATTGTACAGATTATGAATGGATTTTGCGTTTGATTAAAATGGTAGAACAATCGTTTAAGAAAAAAATTATTGTTGGAACTACATGAAACCTAATATTTAGTATATTTTTTGTAAAATAATAACAACTAAATAAATTTAATTTTTGTACAGTCAATTATATAAGTAAACAAGTTGAATAACTTTATATGAATATAAAAACTGAAGAACTCATACAATTGTTGACAAGATTTTGTTCCCTGGATTTTTTTATTTTATTTTTTTATTATTATTATTTTTTTTATATTAGCAACTAGTATTGACTTTTGAAGTTTTCACAAAACCATAATTACCACTACATTCTATAATCACGCCACATGCTTTGGCCCTGTTTGCCCCTATTTTTTGAAATGAAAATGAGTGAAATAGTATTTTTTGAAAAATGAATAGTTAAAAAAAAGTTTTTAATTTACGTATACCATTATTTTATGGAAGATTGTATGGTTGAAAATAGGATAAAAAAAAATGAAATGTAATTTAATAGGACCAAATCGGGGCTTGTTAACTACACACATTTTAGGGAAATATTATTTTTTAAAATAAATGATAATGGTTAAATGGATGACGTTTTACCCTTTTAAATAATGTTATCTGTGAAGCACGCACGCACCTATTTAATAGAACAAATGGATGATAAGCGACAGAAAGGGAAAAAATAAAAGAAGCAAATAAAATTCAAAAACCATCTTCTTTTTCAAATTCCCACACCCAACCCACCACCTCTTTGGAGAAAGATGGTTTTTGGAATTTTAACTTACTCTTTTATTTTTTATTATTTCTATTAAATTTAAATTATAAGAGTAAAATGAAATGACATTTTTACCCCTCTAAATCATATTATTTATAGGGTACATGCTTATTTTCGAAACAAATGGATGACAATTGATTGAAAGGATCTTTTGCATAAGAATATATTGATCTGAGGTGTAAATGTCAAAATTATAAAAATAAGAACTTCTGTGTCGATTACTCTTTTAATTGGCACAAAAGTTAAATATGCTGAATGTTAAAGTTGTCAGTACTCCCTAGGCTGTCCATTTCAAATTATCATCTGGATTGTATCCTCAATCAGATGAAGACATTGACTATATGTATCGGGTTCCTTAATCCAATGCAATTGGTTGCTTGTGTATATTGTGGTTTGTATAAGATCAGATTTGTCACATGCAATTAGTGCAGTTAATAGGTACATAGCAAATCCGAACAAGAAACATTGAAAAGCAGTGTAATGAATATTCAGATACTTGAGGGGCTCTACTAATGCTTGTTTGCATTTTGATAAAAATACAGATAGAGTCCTTAGATATGTGAATTCAGATTATGTAGGGGATCTTGATAAGAAGAGATCACTTACAAGGTATGTGTTTATCTTTGGAGGCTATGCTATTAGTTGAAAAGCTATTTTACAAAATACAGTAACTTTATCTATAATAGAGGTAGAGTACATGACCATTATAGAGGCATGTTAGGAGTCCATGTGGTTGAAGGGGATTAATTGGTAAAATCAGTAAAGACTTGCAGATTTCTACAGTATATTGTGATCGGCAAAGAGTTATTTTCTGATTAAGGATCAGATGTTCCATGAGATGACTAAGCACATTGATGTAAGTTATCATTTAGTAAGCAAGGTTGATAAATAATCTAATGAGTTAAGCATTGGTGACATGACACACCAATTAATTAGTAAATCATTAAATTCATGAGACTTGCCATTAACATATTTACCAATTAACTGGTGTGTCATATTATCGGTGCTTAACATTTAATATTATAAACATAATTACTATTGATTATAGCGAATTTTTCCTTCTCTATCTATGATTTTTCCCATCTTGAGTTTCCACATAAATTTTGATGTTTTTATTTTGTTCTCATTTATTTCATTATTGTGATTATCTTACGATCGATTTATAATAGTTTTTAATAGGACAAAGAATTTTAAAACTTTTCTAAAGCTTTTATTTTTATTACGTTTGGTCAATCCTATTAAATTTAAAAGTTTAAAAAGTCGAATAGAAATAATGTCTTTAATGAAATATGAAAAGTTTCATTATTGCATGTATAATGGTCGTAGGAGATTTTCCAATGCAGCCAGTAGAAATCGTAAAATACTCATAATAGGAATATAAAAATATGATATAAAGAAGAAAGAAGGAAAAGGGTAAAAACATTCCCCTTTCCCCAGCAGAACTTTCGACTATAGTTATCAAATTTGACTCCGACATCGATCCGAATAAGGAAGTGAAATATCGGGTTATTGATTCAACCATCGGTCCAGACCAATTCGAATTTTATATATCTTTACTTATTTTTAAATATATGATGAAACAATATTATTAATCTATTCAATACAGTCGTGAATTACTTTGTGGCAATGGTACCTTAGCTGACTTTCTGGTGGCAAAGGTTAGTAAGAATATTTTCAGACTTTTCCTAGAAGAAGGGCATTATTGATATTCACGGGGTGACCGCACCTTGAGCATATTTTGCTAAGCTTAAAAAAGAGGAAAATTTGCTTTTTTAAGTAACTTTTTGTTTTTTAAGAAGATTTAGGTAAGTTGTTTTTTCTCAATTAAAAATAGATGTTTATTTTGAAAGTAATTTTTAACTTACTAGTCACTTATAAGTAAATCTTTTAAACTCAGCCAAACATGCACCTAATCCTAGGACTTACAGTTTGAAGTACTGTAGAGTCTTGACTTTGAACTAGGTTCTTTCTTACAATCTTTTGGAACTTACTCTTAATTTTTATTTATTTATTTATTTGGTGGTTTGGAGCCTATCTACACATAAGAAGGTAGATATGACATCAACTCCGGAAGTCATCAATTCAAGCCTTGTTACCCTTAAAACCAATGTGAGTTCTTCTATTTGGATTTGCTATTTTAAGCCCGCTGCTCCGAGCAATAGGAGCCATCTGTAAAATTACACTCGAGAACTCATTTTCAGAATTATGTTTCACGTTGGCTGGTAGACTAACATGTAAAAGTTATCGCAGAATTTTAAAATAAACAGAAATGGGATTCTTATAAAATATTTGGTCAAGAAACATGAGTTGGGTACTTGATGTTGTATAGTTCGAAACAAATTGAAATAAACAATATATCGGGGTTTGATTTGTTTTTAGTCAGAGAAATTGCAGTTATATGCCTACCAATTTCTCAATTCAAAGCACTATAAGGGAACCTAAGAGATGAATATTTCCACTTCAAATCACAATGTGCAAACCTAAGCAGAGCTATTTAACCACAATAAGCGAACCTATTTCAATAACGGAAACTAGGACCTGTTAGGAATGACTTTTGAAAAGTCAGATGGCTTTAGAGATAAAGAAGATGCTTTTAGACCTAGTTGAATGATTTCATGACTGCTTTGTTTCATTAGAATAGCTGATCCAAGGTAACTTCCATAAGAAACTTTCCTACATGAGGCAAAAGCAAGAGCTATCTCAATAAGCCCATAAAAATAAGTAGAAAGTAATATGTACTGCGAAATAGAGAAAAAGTAGACTCCCATTCAAATAAGACTTCAGTATGGTGATCGATGAAGATTAGGAAGAATATCTCACTCAAGTACAGAACTGAAATTCAACAAGCACAAGCATAACTTCAATCACATGAATCTGACAAAATTCAGTGTTTATACATATACTAGAATGTGATCTAACACGATAACAAGACCTAATCCTCGCCCAAAAATCCTATTGAAAGGCATCATCTTTTCTTGAATCCATATTTCTTTCGTTCATAGAACAAATCAGTTTTGGCACTTCCCAAATTGACGATTTTGGGACATCCGTCCCGATCTTTTTCCTGCTGAGTACATTCTTTGCAATAGTAGGCATCAGAAATCCCCACCCCTCCACAGATAACACAACGTCCTTGGAACGATCCATAATTGCACTCATCACATACCCGCACAAGGGTGCAAGGACGCACATAGGAATCACATATCACGCACTTACCATCGCATTTCTCACAAAGCCTTCCTATGGCTATCCCTGGTTGCTTCCGACACATAATCAAGTCTGGATGATGCTTAGCCATACACTCTTTGACACTTTCTTGGAATATTCACTGCATAATATTACAGATTTTGAGTCAATTTGGAATCTCTGAGAGATCGAAATCTCAGTTTCATTGATAAAAGCACAGGATAAGTTAGCATTTCCTCCACAAATGAATTTTTAAGCTGCAAAAAGCATAACAAAACTTGGCATTGTAGTTAACTAATATTCACCTTATGCACCAAGTTTGCAGCCTAAAATGACATCTCATCTAGTTTGCTTTCCTACAAAATCTAATTTTGTAGACAGATGCAACCAAGAAACTAAAAATAATTACATGCAATTAAAAGGGACAGCTCAACAGTAAAAAATAACATGCAAAAAATAAGAGAAGAATCTTTAAAAAAATATATAGATAAAAGCACTTACAAGCTTATTTGGACTTCTGTTCTTAGTTCCAAAGTAACAATCCAATATAAATTTTGTCCCCTAAATAGAAATTTTGGTAACAACTATTTGATCTCCCTTAAAATTTATTTAGGGTGCTATTTCTATTTATCATGATATTCGTACTTCTCTAATAATTGATCATGAAAAGAAGACCTCCTGAAATTGGAAGCTGTCTAAAGTTAGCATGTTTGGTGACTTTCATCTTGCAAGCTTGAAAATGAGGTTACCGGAAAATTATTGTGGTATTTTCTCCATCAAATTAAACCTTCAGGTTTGTACGGTGCCAATCATGTAAAATTAGAGATCTTACCAAATGAAAAGATGACTGCAATAATTCAGCGTCTTCTCATCCTGTCTTCTCTGTAAAAGAGAATAAATTACTTGTTTTCATTTTAGTTGTCGTCAACCCAACCTATATTAGCATCACCTAAATAGTTGTAAAGTAACACAAGCTTCCATTCCATTTGATGACACGGAACTACTGGGAGTTGGGATCGGATTACTTCAAAAACACTTTGAATTGAAGGAAACTACTTTTAATTTCAATTCCAAAACCCCAAGCCCATGCTCCAAGAACTCAAAACTTCAATAAAATCTATTAAGCAAAACACAAATTCATAGCCTTGAGATTCATGTTAATACATCCTCAACAAGTCTATTACCAGCAACATATAGTTTCACTCATTATGTACCCAATATCAGGGGCGGAACCACCTGGGGTCTGGTGGGCCAACTGGATTTTGGTCCTGGATTTCACCTATTATACTTGAGGGGCGGCCAGGCAAGGAGAAAATCATAAACAACCGCATCAAAAATTCAAGAGAAATGTTGACTTAGATAACCATCAGGAAACAACAATTTTGGAAAAATAAATAAATAATAAGGAGTTGAGCTGAAATTAAATCATTCACAACAATCAGATCAAAAGCGATTTCAACAAAACTAATAAACTCCAATATTACCTTCCAATTTCTTTGATGAAGAAGATGAGTAGAAACCAGTGCAATGGCTCCCAGTTTGCCTCTCCCCCAATTTTTAGCGCAATACAGAAAAAGAAGACCTTAACCACTTGTCCCCTTTGCTCTTGATTAAGAATTAAACAGGCCTGAGATAGTTGGATATGTCTAGCTTTTAATTGGGCTTTACAAGATTTATTCCCATTGTAATCCATTTTTCAGATGAGCCTCGATATGTAATAAATAGAAGAGTAGAGTTTATTTTATTCATTTTTAAGAACCAGGGTCAGGTGATAAATAATCTATTTAATATATAGTATTATATATATTAAATTAGATTCTAATTCCTAAAATCAAACATTCAGTTACACATGTTTCCATTCCAAACACGACTCTCCATTTTAACAGTGACTATCGAACAAAAAGAGAATCTACAATGAACTAGTTGGAGCAAATAACTTTGATTCCTACTATCGAAATCTGGTTAATTAAAACCCGTAAGACGATTGAGGTTATAAGTTGAAATTTTCGGCACTGTGTATCATAATTTTTTAAGGCAACAGTCACAAACTGAGGTTAAATTAGAGTAGCAAATTGAGATTGGTGATCATCTAGAAGTAGATTTGAAGGATTTTAAAGTCACAGTTGGTTGTGTATAACATTATATTGTTGTTGGATCTTTCGATTTTTGAATTTGCAAAATCGTGTTGAAGTTCCGATCGTGAATTGTTGTAATGAAAATTGAAAAATCTATTGACTTGTAAATTGTGATATGGAAAAGATTTATTAACTTATAAACTGAGAGTCGTTATGAAAATTGAAAAGATACATTTGTTACCCGTGATGGTCTTGACCAGTTCTCTATGATATGAAACTTAGTAATATGGATCTATGAATTATGCACTATGACATGTGACATGTGAACTGTAAGATGTGACGTATGAACATAAATTAGTAATCTATGACCAGTTCTATTTGATATGTGGTATGTGGACATTGACATGTGACCCTTAACACGTGATATATAACAAATATATATTGAACTTTGATAACTAAATTATATCTTGTAACAATGGACATGTCACTAGTAACATTTAACATTATACTCTATGAATATGTGACAATCATCACTACCACTCAAACTATGATCAAAATAAAGGGAGAAGTAGCGATTTTAATTTCTACTACCAACCACCAACAAAAATCACAGCAAAACTCCAACTAATTAGTCATCTCTATCGACCACCTAAGATAAAAATACTACAAACAAGATCGATTCCGTCGAATTGTACACAATGGCCCCCAATTGATTTTGCCAGTTTGTGGTATTTAGAGATTAAAAGAAGATCGATTGAGAGAATGGAGAAGATAGAAGATAGATAGAGAGAGTATTTAATAATATTATTATTAAATATTAAAAATTAAATTATGACATGATTTTTGAATAAACAAACCTTAAACTAAATTTTTGAAGTGTAATCTTCAGAAACCTCCCTTCATGTAATTTGTACATAAAAAATTAGACCAATTGAACATTTTTACTTTTGACAAACTAAGCTATTAATAAAATAAATCTTAAATGATATATTTAGGAATTTAATTAATTCAATTTTTTCATGATTTCGATTATAATTTTTTTTTTTTTACATAATTAATATTTCTTGTAGCTGTATTTATGGAAGGCCGCAAGGCTCTCTCATTGAGTTAGAGATTTATTTTGATAGACAAAGGAAGAAAGGAAGAGAATCATACCATACGAAGTAGGTGAGTCTGATTGCTTAAAAAGCTCTATTTAGGATAAAAGACGCCGTTTCCAAAATTATGATAATTTAAGCGATATGTTCTATTTCTTATCATGATATAGAAGGAGAATAAATTGTTCATTTGATTTATACCATGAAAAGAGAACTATGATTTTTCCATTTAGGGATAATAATCCAAATGTACATTGCCAGTAGAACTTTAAAAATCACTCAATTAACTAAACATTGTAATATGTAATCCCATCCATCACTGTTTGAACCGCCGTTCAAAAAATCGATGAAAATGTTGACGTGACTGACGGAATTGCGTAAGTGGCACAATGTTTCCACTGGTGGACAACAAATCAGTAAGTTGCTACTCACGTGGAGAGGTGTTATTCCAAAAACGTTTTTTCAGAATAAAAATAAAAAATAAAAACACTATTTTCTATATTGTAGGGATATATTTAAAAGAAATAAACTGTTTTATATATATATATACATACTCATTCTCAAAATGTAATGTTAATTATAGGAATTATCAATTTTTCCTTATAAATATTTATCTATTTCATTATGGTTCGATATCTAATACAGTAAGTGACACTATTATAATAAAATAATTGTTCAAAAATACGTTTTGACATAAGCTTTATTAGAAAATCGCTAATAATTATACTAATCCGCACCAAATATATAATATATGTTCATTTGGAGGGGAAAAAAGGACTAACAAAGGTAATTAGAAATGAAATATAAGAGGGATTGGAGGAGAGAGCTTTGAAAAGTTGAAATCGGTAGGATGAAATAATATCGAAAATGTGATACTAACACAACAGGCTCTAATCCAATCCGTCTCCACCATAAGAACTAGGGAAAGAAAATGTATGAATGTAAACAAGTTAAAATTAAGTGATTCTCATGTTTTCTCCATCAATTTTGCCCATATACTCAATTAATATTGAATTAATTGTGTCATCGTGAAATTTTTAAAAAAAAATTATGTTAAAAGAAATGCTAATTCCTTTTTTCATATGATTATTGTGAATTTTCAAACAAACCAACTTGATTCAAAAGTGGTTACTTTGAATATTAAATGAATCAAATTGAATCGATAGTTTGTGGTTTTTTTTTTTATGATAATAATTATTTAATCATAATTTAAATCTTTAACATTATATTTTATTAAATTATTCTAAAAGAAAGAAGAGAGATCAAGGAAATTCGTAACTGAATATTTCATTTAACAAGATATAAGAAACTTGCAATGGTTGAATAAAAGTTATTAGAAAACATATGAAAAATTATCTAGAGAAAAAATATGAACCATAAAATAAAAATTAATCTACATTGTTCATTTAATAAAGTGAACTAGAAAAGGTCAAAGAGACCTCATTTCTAATCAATCAAATTAGAACTCAAGTAACCGTTAAATTTTGAAAGCAAGAGTTTTAAAGGTACATTATGATTCAAATACGAAGCAACATAAAATAAACCAAAAATGTAATCATGCGTTTTAGATTCAAATTAGGTAATTATATTTTATGTCCCACTACCAAATTGCTGGCCCTCCCCTACCCAATATCGAAAAATCTCATAGCCTCTAAAAAAGTGAGGAACGTCTTGGTATATAATATGCAATAGGATCAAAGTTAAAATTAGCTAACAATGTACGCACTCGACTTATATATTTGAGAAACCCTTTGAAAGATTTGTGGAAAGCTTTAGAAATATCGAGAAATTTTGTTTGAGTATTCTAGAATAAAGAAGAGAGATCAAAAGGATTTTGTAACTAAATATCCAATTTAATAATTTATAAGAAACTTGTAATAGTTGAATAAAAGTTTTTGAAAACATATCTACAAAAAATAATATAAAGAAAAAAATATGAACCATAAAATAAAAATCAATCTTCGTCGTTCAATGTAACGGAGTGAATCTATAAAAGGAAAGGATGCCTCATTTATAACCAACCAAACTAGAAGTAAGAGCAAAATACTAAAAGTAAGATTTTTAAAAATAATATTTTTAGGACTCTGCCTTTTTCCAATATTGAAAAATCTCAAAGCCTTCAAAAATATTAAAGGTAGTTCCATACAATGGCATTATTTTTTTAATTAGGTAAAGGAGGAGAAATAAACATTGGAAAAAATATAGGAAAAAAAAACTAAAATTTTAGTAATTTACGAAGCAACAAGAAACCTAATTTCTATCTACAGCAATATTAATAATATAGAAATTAAATGTCTTCATCCTTATTTTCTTCTAATCATTTACTAATCAAAAAGATAAAACATATATAACGATAATCATACACATCAAAAAACAAATTCACATAAATGGTGTGTGAGTGTGTATGAGAGAGAATAATTTTGCCACGCCGCAGGATTGGGTTGTATAGAGAAAATGTACACTTAAATGTAGAGAATTATTGTCGAGACTTGAGATGAAACTTTAGGGTGGAGGCAAAGCGATAAATCTTGTGGCCCAATTATGATTAGAAGTGCAAATTGGACCACCATTTTAGTAATATTGTTTAAAGAGGCTCAAGTGTGGGCTAGTAAAAATATATGAGCAGAGTCAAGTCTACCAATGGCATGTAAAATGCCACTTAGAATCGATGCATTAAAAATCAAATAATGTGTTAGACTCATATGTAAAATGTAAAGGATTGAAAGATTAAAGCATTAAACATAAGTAAAATTGAAATTGAAAAATAGCCGTTGATTTGAGCTAATCCTTTGTCGATTTAATTATGTTTAGAAATGTTGAGCATGGTTAATTGTGATAATGCTTAAAATATTTCCCACTTGTGTTCACTCATAATGCTCGAATCAAGAACCTCTTTTGGGCCGATGCAATTAGTAGGGCAGCTTATGAGAAATTTAGTGATGTGGTTACATTTGATGCAACGTACTTGACTAATAAGTATGACATGCCATTTGCACCTATTATGATTACTATGGACAATCAATTTTATTTGGATGTGGATTACTATCAAGTGAAGATCCTACTATGTTTATTTGGTTGTTTCGTACTTGGCAAGCATGCATGGCTAGCCGAGCATCAAGTGTCATAATTACAGATCAAGATAAAGCTATTCAAAAAGCAGTTGAGATTGTGTTTCCAAACAATCGACATCACTGTGTCTATGGCATATAATGAAAAGAACCAGAGTGGTTAAGGGGCTATAGGTCATATGAAAAAAAGAAAAAAAAATGTGTTGCATAATGTTGTATATGAATCATTGAAGAAAGAAGAATTTGAAGTAAAATGGGCATAGTTTATTAGTGAGTTTAATCTTCATGAAAACTTGATGTTAGGTCATTTGTATAAAGAGAGAAATCATTGGTTCCTGCATTTGTAAAGGACACATTTTGAGCTGTTATGTCAATTA